TTTAAAATGGTTTTTTTTTTTTTTTTTTTTTTTTTTAAATATGTAGACACTCAGTTTGATCTGGAATATATAACTTCTGAACACTTCCATAACAAATGAATATCAATATCATTAATTTTTCCAGTCTGACCTCAGGATTATTTAGAATGAATGAATTTAAGACATTTTCTAAATACAGTATTTGAACACTTTATATTACGGTACTTTTAACAATGTTTCAGTAACTAAAGTTCAAGTATTTAATGTAATCCAATATGCATCTTACGCAGAAGAGATCCTTTGATACAGTTCACAATTTTTTCCTTGTGCCAGCAAAGAGCAGTTCTAATTCTTCCTTTCATGGCACTAAGAATATAGCACAAATGTATCATGGTATAGGTCAAATAGAGTATTAGTATTCCACATAACATCAGACAATTGTTAATTACTTCATGTGACATTAAAAAATAGGTGAGTTCATCTTCTATATTCCAGAAAGACTGAATAATGGTACAAGGAAAATACTTTGAATTTGGGATTAATTGTAAGGTGCTACATTTAGGCATCAAAAACAAAACAACAAACATGGTCTGCTTCAGGCTGGGCTGGGATCGTGCTCAGCGCTCCAGGCTGAAGTGTGCATGGAGCCCCACCAGCACAGAGCAAACAAAATGGGGCAGGGGGGTGGAGGAGAGGGGCAGCAGCTACAGCTATGGCCCTAACCCCAGGGAAGGCCTGGAGCCCAAGCCACAGCACACAATTCTATGAAGAGGGCCTTCTTCCCCACCACCCATGTTAAATGAGAGGTAAACCATCTTAGTATTGAGTAAATATGGCAGGCATGTTTAGATTGCAAAAAATAAGGGCCATTAAGACAGGTACACGATAGCAGTCTTCTAATATCTGAAGGCCTGTCAAAGATGGAAAACAGCTTTTTTCCACTACTGCAGAGAGAAGGATATGTATCAATGCTTTGTAGTTGCAGCAAAGTAGGTTTAAACTGGATATCAGGAGAAAATTTCACTTTTAAAAAAACAAGGCAGTGGAACAGACTAAGTTACAGAATCTGCTTTCTCGGAGGTTTTCAAGACAACAATATTGGATAAGCATTGATCAGGGATTATTTAGGAGACGCAATACCTGGAGTATGCTGTGAAAAGCAATAGTTACAGTAAGCTGTGAAAAGCCCAGCAGATTCCCACACACACTGCCCAGGGACTATGAGAACTCTGTAGCTTGTAGTGGGTAAAAATTGGAGAGGACCATGCTCAGTAACAGGAGAATGGAGCAGAGCTCAAAAACAATGACAACAAAAAAAATCAGCTTAGTTATGAAAGAAAATTAAACAAGCTGGGACAAGTTTACAGAGGGGACAGGATGATACCAAAAGTTCCTTAAATCAGGGTGTGTGATATGCCAAATTGTGTTTGTCTCCAGGTTGCAAAGTAGATTGGGAGGATGTCTGGTTAATCCATGCTTCTGGGATTTACAGGTCATCATATGGGGCTGGGAATGTGCATTCTCCTCTCTGACAGGGTGGGGAGGGGGGAACAAAAACCAAAGTGCTAAAAAAACACCCCACAAAAAACCTCCTCTAGGATGGTTTAGAAACGGATGCTCCTACCTTGGGCAGGGGGGTTGAACTAGATGAACTCCTGCTGTGCCTTCAGTTCTAATTTTCTAAGACTATGAAACCTACACAGCTTGTTTAACAGAAAATTATAGTACATTTTCTATAAAATAAAATCTCTCTTGAGAAAATAACCAAATATTTACTGGCCCCAGCCAATATAGATTTTGTATAAGTACAGAAAATGTGATGGTTCCACCATCATTAGATTGAGATTTTGGCTGACCCCATACTATTTCCTGTAATATAAGTATTCAGAGGCATTTATCAGCTTTATACGAAACCAGGAGACATTTTAATATGGAAAAGGAAGCCGATTTCCTTTTCCAAACGTTTCTTCCTGATATGGCTATATTCCAAGGAAAAATTGTTTGAAGGAGGTATACAGCTATTGAAGATCTGACAGAGTACTTAGTAAAAGGAAGTCTTTGCTTTGAGATTTCAAAAAGATTAACCTAAACTGATCAAATTCTCATCCTTGCTAAAAATAATTTTCAAATTTTCATTACAGTAAATTGCCAGAAAACAGAAAAAAATGGAGACTTCAGATATGCATGAGAGAAAAATGTTTGAAAAGGGGAGACTTGAAGATGGATATTGGAACTATTTCCAATAATGATCCTTTCTTGTATATAACTGCATACAAAGTTGTTTACTCTAAATGTTGTCCAGCTGCAGAAGCAAGTGTTGTATAATTTAGCATACTAAGATGTGGGTTACCAAAATACTACACCAGGTCACTACACTCTGAATTACGAAACAATTAAATGTAATTTACAACAAAACATGACTCACAGTATGTCTGCACTACATAACCCAGTGTATTGTAGATATCCAAACTAGCTCATTTAGAAGTGCGATAAATAGCAGTTCCCCATTCCTACCACACTGTTTTGTGTACCTACTGTGCTGCTTTCCATACCCAAGCTAGTCTACTTAGGGTTAGCTTAGGTACTGTTACACCAGTCTACACTGTGCAGCGTAGACATATGCTTAATTAATATTTCAAGAATTCAAGGGGGGGGGGGAATCAAGAAAATGAACTTGTACATTTTGCCAATCTAAATACAAGTTTTGGTCATCACTAATAACAGTTGTTAGAGGAAGATAAAAGTTCACTTTCACACAAATTGTCAATCCTACAAAGTATCATAAGATTACTTCTAAACACCAGCTTTTGTCAAGTCAAATTTGGAACCTTTCAACTTCTAACACTGTAGTAAAATTATGAAACTAAACCATTCTGACATGTCTATGAATTCTTTATGAAGCCCTCCATAGAAAGACAAACACAAATTAAAATTCTTACCATCAAAATAGTTCCTGTTTTGCTGAGAGGTAGACTGCAACATATTTTCAGGTTTTTTGGCTGTTGGAGTCAGGTCACTGTAAGACAAATGAGCCAGTATAGTTTATACTTAACTTATTAATACAAAACCAGTTGCCTATGCACATTTACATACTAAGTTTTAAAAAATTTGTCTCTATGTATATAAATCTGGGCGCCAATCTTTTCCTTACAAAATTTACTGATAAAGAGAGGTCATATCTTTCAAGCTACACAGTCCTCAGAAGAGCCATATCTACACACTGGCCTTTTGAAGATAGCTGAATCCTAAAGTTACCAGCGACTGAAAAAGATGTGCTGACTATGAAACACAATCAACCATATCTTATTTGTTTTCAACGGTATTTGTTCTTCATGAAGGCCAGAAGTGGTTATATCTATCATTTAATGGAAAACTTTTTTAAAGGCAAAGAAAGGAACCCAGATCCAACTCATTTCTTTGAAAATTTTCTCATGTCAGAACAAAAGAAAAGAAAAAGGACTTTTATTAAAGAAAGGGAATGCTACAGTTTGTGGCCCAGCCAGAACAATTTTGAAATTGCACTTTATTTTAATCAAATAAACTTGAGCCAAGTGCAAGGGGGGAAATAAAATTATAAAACCTTCTTCTCAACAGCAGTCCTAAACATTCTGGTCAAACTTTGAGAGTTATTTAGGCAATGCCATTGATGAAAAAGAAATTTAGTAGTTTGAAACTAAGTGTCCAATACATTTCCCATGCAGATATTCAATGTACAAATTGCCTCTTCTTTGTAATATTACTGGTAAAGCATTTGTGGGAGGACGAAGAAGAAAACATTTAAAACAGCACAGTGCAAGACACTTTTCTCTAAAGTCATCTTCCCCTGCCTGCTGAGAAGAAGTCTCATTAAGTTCCTTTATGGCTTGTTAAAGTTATGAGCCTGTAAAATATATAGTAAGAAGTGTTCTAAAGTTATCTAAACCTTAATTAACATTTCTCAGTGTGCAATACACCTCAGAAAAACTTACACTACTGAATTTGTCACTCAGGTTTGACTGGTAAAAAAAAAAAATTAAAGGAAAAATGCATTTAAAAAAAGTATAAACAGCTAAATCACCAAATGTATTATATTTAAATATGCAATTTCTCATTTTACCAAACAGTCATTTCTAGACATGCATAAAAACTGTTTTTGTCATTTGTCTGCAGTCTTACAAAACATAGGAGGGTAGGAGAAGCATTTCTGCTGACCCAAAATAAAAACTTTCCCAGGGCAAGCCAAAAGCAGCAACAATTTGCTTCAGACTTAAATGTAATGTTTTAAGGGGTTTTTTATTGTTGGATTTCTTCTTATAATTTTAAAAATACTTATTAAAAATGTAATTTTTTTTTTTTTTTTTTTTTTCTGAAATTCCCTCTAGCTGTAGACTAGGATAGAAGGGAATGCTCACTAGTCAGCTGTTCTGTTGCAAAGGATTCATTAGCCCACTCCTACTTTCCTGCAGGTGAAGCTAAAAGGCGGAAATTTAGCTCCGACCAAAAAAGTATTGCAATTTAGAGCATGCAGGTAACAGTTAAAGCAGATTTAGCTGTGCTGAGGCAAGTTCCCTGCCTCCCACTTTGGCCCAAACACACACACTTTAAAAACAGGATTTCATCTGTCTCTACCCTTGATAGAAATTCTGCCCCGCCTCCTCCAACATCACAACAAAAATGTTTTTATTATTATTAAAATACTGCCAAAATACCTGACTTAGTGAAATGTTTTGGTCAACCTCAAATAATTTGTCAGACAAATGTCACCCAACAAAAGTATTTAGGAGGCAAAAGAGCCTGGACTAGTATTGGCTCTCTCAACTTATGACAGGGGTGGATAAAATATGGCCCTAAGGCTGGATTCGGCTGCACAACTGACCAGATGCAGCTCGCGGCAGCCTCTGTGCAGGGGTGCATTACGATTCACCGGGCATCCAAACCCTGCCCCACCCCATGGCTGCAGGCTCCCTCCCTGGCCAGCACAGCAGCAGCAACGGCTAGAGCAGGATGTGCTGTCCCCCCAGGCCCGGGGCAGGAGCTGCATCCGCCCCCACCCACAGGTCTGCAGTGGATCTGGCACTGGAGGTGCAGAGCCGCTGCCCACTGGGTGCATGTGGCAAAGCCTGAGCTCCAGGGACAGCCCCTCACCCCACCACAGCTTAGTCTGACTGCAGTGGTGCCCAGCAGCCACTGCCCACTGCATCATGCATACCAGCCTGATCTCATCCACACTGAGGCAGGAGCCCAGCTGGCCTGTTTGTTAATCAATCTATGCCTCTGTGGTGCTCTGCAAGGGGCTATGCCCCACCTACTGGGGCAGCCCACACCACACTCCATTCCCAGTGCTGCTCTGCTCCCCTCACCTCCAGTGGGAGCTGCCTGGCTGAATATCCCCCAGGGCAGGGGCAGCTGCTGGAGGCAAGGGAAGCAAGGTCAGCACCTGGCCAGCTGCAGCCACACCGGGAACAGCCACACCAGAAGTTCCATGTGCTAACTTGGGCCTGAGCCAGCAGGGCTTTTCTGCTTCCTTTACCTCCAGCTGCAGCTCCTCCTCATGCCCCTGCTGCACTGCTCCGAGCACAGGGAGCTTGAGCTGTGTGGTTCCTGCTGGAGGCGAGCGAAGCAGAGCAGAACTGGGAACAGCTTCGTTGGGCTGCAGCTGCATGGGGAACAGCCATGCCAGAAGCTATGCACTGGCCAGAGCTAGGCACGTAGCATAGGGTACCCCAGGTGGGGCTCAGCCTCAGGCAGAGCGCCACGGGGGCAGATGCAGACCACACCACCCAGGCAAATTCTGTTACATGCACCCCCTCCCTCTCCTCAGCCCCATCTGGCTCCCTGGAGGTAGCACCCAAGCAACACCCCACCCACATCCCCAGGTATGCAGTGAGTGGATTGGCTTTGCTCACCTCTCCCACTCCCAAGCACTGCTCCCCACTTGCCCAAAGCCCCACAGGGAGTTTTGGCAGGTTGCTGCATGGAGGAAAAGGCCGTGCTAATCCAGCCTGCAACAGGTCCAAACTCTCTATTGTGGCCCAGGGATCCACATAATTGCCCTCCCCTGGCTTATGGAGAAGGAGTTCAAGGCTCAATAAAAGAAAAATAATTAGATTTCTAACCAGTAGGAAATACAGTATGTAATGCAAGTGTTTGAAAGGTGTAAAACATGTAGAAAACTGATTGTGTTTACTGTGTTCCATATACTATATTTTCAAACTAGATCTCACTATTAAACTTGTTCAGTGGTGCTCGACCTTTTGGTCCCACGGACAGATGAGCAAGCCAGCACGCAGGGCCATGCTACCTGACCTGTGAGGCTCCCAATGGGTACCAATATTTGGCAGCGGGGGAGCAGCAACCAACATGCCAACACTCCCCTGCTGCCACATTTCTGGACCAGGGGGAGCCCAATAGGCCAAATGACAACTGCAGGCCAGATCTGACCCACAAGCTGGGGGTTACACACTCCTGAAGCTGTGTCTTACTAATGTGTACACTTATATTTTAAACTTTTCGTGGTATAGATTTTAAATACTTTATTCACTGAACTGCAAAGTATAAATCTAAAATACTAAGTTAATTAAATGTTAACTAGTGGGAGCCAACAAATTAGCTCTGCACCTATATCCTCCTCCTCTGCCTGATCTGCTGCTCTGCCTTCTGCTCCCTACTCTAATACATGTTTGACCTCTCACTTAGCTTCCTGTTTCTAGCAAATCTTCTGCTCTGCTGCCTATCTTCTTCCTGAACTGCTAGGTGCCACACACAAAGGCTGCCCATGCCATTGCATTTGTGTCATATATTGGCCACCTTCGTTCTAGACCATGTATACCATTGCTTTCACATTTTATTAGCCCATAAATGTGGGCCCAATTTTACATGTACAGAATTGATACTAGTTTTGAACACTGAAGGACTGAGCCATGGTAGTTATAAAAAAAATTAACAATTTACTTGGTTTTGCATTTCTTTTTTATGACTACCTCCCACTTCCTACTTCACAAGCCCCTTTCAGCCCTTCAGAGTTTTCTACATCTATTGTCACCAATAAAAAGATGGCAAATCTCAAATAGAAAGCTTGAACTTGATCCAGGAAATACCACACGAGCACCAAAGTTTACCTGAAGGAAACAGTTTCTTTAACGCCTCGGATATCCATTGGATTGGTTCCTTCAATGACAGGTGAATCCAGAGTGGCAGATCCATTACTAATATGATCACTGCTTTCATATCCAGATTCAGTCCTTTGTATTTGCCAGTTGTCACCATGAACTTTTCTCTCTGTAAATCCTTTTCCTTTCTCCAGATTCCCTTTTCCATCTGAATCCAGAGAGCTTCGACTCCCCGTCTCCTGTTTTGTTTCATCTTCATAAATGGTCATTAAACTCTTCTGGGTTTGATTTTCTTTTGGCCACTTATTAAAGCTCTGCTCCTTTTCCTGTTTAGCTTTATTGCTTTGATTTGCCTTATGTCTTGGACTATGCTGCTTTTTTTCAGTCTCGCTGAAAATGCTGTCCACATTTAGTGTCTCTCGCATAGGCTTCCAACCTTTGGTTTTGCTTCTACTGCTGCTGCTGCTGACAACACTTCCCTTGTCCCTAGAATCTTGGCTGCTATCTGTTTCATAGCCAGTGGTATTGTCAATCCTAGATCTGTTCATCCCTTTATCCACAGCAAGAAAAGCTTCTGTTTTATTTGACCCAAGTACCTGTGCAAGCGGTCTGGGTTCATGTGGTATACTTTCATGTTTGTAAGGTCCTCTTCCCTGGCTACTATAAACACGCTGGTCAGCATATTGTCTAAATCCATTTCCAACAGGAGGCGATCCTGACTTAATGTGAGAGCGGTCTTCTCCAATAAGATCTAAAATGAAAAAAATAAGAAACCTCCTCTGAATTTCTCCTTTCAATTAAAAGGAACTCCCCAGTTTGACAATATTTTGCCTATGATAGCTATTTATTCCTGTCATACCATTACAGGCTAAACAAGCTCAAATGGCATGCATTTAGCAAAAAGCTAATGTTAGGTTTTCTTTTAACTTGCCAAACAAAAAATATCAGTTATGCTGAATTTGCTATAAACCTCGTTTCTAAAGCCAGATTTTAAAAAATGTACCTCTTTGTCTCCCAGAGTCTTTTTTTGGTCCTCTGTCTGCATCTTTCCTTACGGAGGACTGAAAGTTTCTCATATCAACTGCCTTCTGAGCACATTCTCTGGATATATCCTTGAACTTGTCCTTTTGATCTTGGTGCCCTAACTTAACTGCAAAAATACTCATGATAGCATTTTTAATTAAACTGAACAGTCATGGTAAAAAAAAAAAAAAAAAAAAAAATGTACTATTAGCTTTATTACATCTTAGCTTTAACTACTAACATCTTAGCTTGGTAAATTACAAAGTTTCAAAAGATGACAAATCACCCATGCCTATTGCAAATTTATAAAAATAAAGGTTAATAGAAATATTAAATTATTTTAGGAGATCAATTACAAAGCCTTGCAATTAAAAAAAAAAGCAAACCAAAAAAAAAACCAAACAAACACACGTTTCTAACTGAACTCTTGCACAGCAAATTTTTTTTTTAAAAAAAAAAAAGTACGTACCTGGTCCCCTACCACCACTAGCCTGAACATGAGCTCTGCTGAAACTGGAGTTTTCAGGCTGAAATTTTTTATTGCCTTTTTGATTTGAAGTCTCTAAAAATCCATTCTCTCTTGTGAGATCCAATTTTGGAATAGCTGTTTTTTCAAAACCTATAAAAACAACATATAATCCATCTTTGGAAATGAAAACATACTAATTTATGGGTAACCGCATTTAAATTACCTGAACTGGTTACGTTTAGCATGCAAACAAATTCTGGAATATCTTACTTATGATAATGCAATTTGTCACAAATACGGTAATGGCATTTGTCCTTCAATTTTTCTTCAACATCATGATGTGAACAGGTAAGACTCAATTTTCCTTTTATTAATTTCAATTTTGAGAGAATCAACAAAATTGACAGCCATAAGTACTACAACAAGATTTTTAACATGCACCATAACTATAATGCAGTGTTTCTCAGAACTTTTATTTTTCCAATATTTTTACGGGATCAAAGGGGAAAAAAAGGAAACAGTGACACTTAAGTTAGAAAAAAGAATTCCAAGACTGCCTTCTTAAATAGAATTTCTCATCCTATATAATTAGTTCTAAACAACCCCAAAAAGGATAATAAAAGCAATGATTAAGAGGCGTCGCTTAGGCTAAAACAGCATCTTACACAATATTTATTGCATTTCCAACTTTTAATTATTAAGTTTAACCTGCTCATAATTAAAAAGAATTTTTCCAGTCAGGAGTTCTTCATCTACGTCTTTCAAGTCACATTTTTCTCTCTGGTACAAAGCATTTGATAGTTCTAATGTTAAATAATACAGGCCAAGTTTTTAAACAGGAAATTTGATTGCCTGCTCCCAATTACTGATCAAATTTGATGCAATTAAAGTTCTGTTAGTCAAAGCTTTATTACCTAAGTCTTCTCCATTTCTTGCTGCTGATTTGTAGTGAGAATGAATGATCTGTCTGGGTGCATCTTCTGTGGAAACAGCTGTACCATCTGGGTTAGCATAAAATAGCAACAATGGCTGAAAGTGACATCGAATGCACTTGGAGACCACATCTTTCCATTTTGTTCCAACCTGAGGAAAAAAATCCTATTTGCATCAAATATAAAAAATAACTAGCCACTAAATCCAATAAAAGAAAGAATACAAATACACCAGAAATATGAGACATTCGTATATTGTAGAATCTGAAAACATAGCACGTTCAAAGCTACAGCTATAGCACATAAGGTTGCTATGCAAGCTGCAGTAGAAAAGCAGTGAACAATGGTTGCATAAGCAAAGTAAACAAAACTACAAATACTTTGGGCTTTCACTAGTTATTCATTAAACAAAACATTACACTTCACAACCTGAAATACCCAGTAAACAGAGGACAGAACAGTAAAACTGCAGTCAATTAAAACTTGACTTAGTAGAGAATCTTTAAGAAATGAAGACAAATTTAGAGTTGGTCAACAGAGGAGTTCTAAGTGTAGAAAACGTTTACCTCTTTCACATTAGCATCATCAAACAGGACCCACTTGCAGCTCTTAGTGTGAAAGGCAAAGGCACAGTAATGTCGGCTTGCGTAGCAAATCATCCCCACAAGATAAAGCTCAGCATTTTTAGCCTGCTCATCTGTAACCCTATAGAACAACTGTAAACATGAATATGTATCAGTTAAACAGGAAAAATCCTACTACTTCGGACATTTTAAATTCATTAAGATTAATATCTACACCACTCGTTTGTCTCAGAAAAGCAACTACATCACTATAGTCAGGCTACAATTTATATAGAACTACTCTTTTTAACACGTAAGTCTACTAAAAATATTAATACACAGACGGCACAGCAGTATTTGATACCCTGTGACCTTACACAAACAAAACATTCCAAAAAAAATTTGCAGAAGTGCTGAATGATTTTTTTTTTTGGTCTGGGAGCTTAAGTATCTGCCACTGCTTAGGTCTACTTTTAAAAAGGCTTTAACTGAACTTTTTTCTTTTAAATGGTTACACCTTGATTTTTTCATTCTTTATTATTAGTCTTAGCCGGCTACTATGCATAGGATTTTAACTGGATCTTCAGCAATGATGCATCAGAAGCCAATACAAGGAGTGACCCATTAATTTTTAACCTGAAATAGACATTATCCCAGTTTGCCCTAATTACACTGCCTATCTCTAGGTAGTATAAAAACAAGGGAATGGTAGCAAAAGAAATCAAGGGAAGCCTGTGATACAATAATGGAAGTTAACTAGTGTGCAAAACAAGTACACTGGATAATCTTTTCACTATTTTCCTTCCTTTGATCAAATTTATTAACACTCAGATGTGAAATACCTGTAGTCTAAGGTCTGAATCCTAGTACACAACTCTAACTGTTATTCTTTGCAAGATAAATCGAGTACCATTCAGTTCACTGTGGGGGAATACCTGGATAAACCATACACGGGTAAGGTATGCTCTGCATTGACGTTAAAAATTCCACAGCGTTTTTCAGTAAGGAAGAGGTATGCTCTGATCCCTGTCCAACCTTAATTAATCTACTTGCGTATCTGCTCTATGGCAATCTAACAACAGGATTACACCTCCATTAGACCCATATTTTAATCTCTCCCCAACGTGAATGGTGCTGAAGGAACAGATCTTGTGTGTAGAAGTAAAGCAGCCTGATATCTACCAAACTTGCTTTCTTCATTGCAGAAGCATATAATGAATAAGATGGGGAGCTGCAGAAGAAAGAGGATGCTTTTACTGATTTGGCAGCTAACTATCCTCCTGGAGAACTACTCTGCTCAGAATGAATGTAATGCTACACAAATCACTTGAATCAGACGTAGTCACTGTGCACTCCTACGTAACAAAAGGTGATTGGACCTGTTCCTTGAAAACAATGCACTATAAAAATCATTAGTACTCTGACAAATTAGGTCCTAAGTAAATCTTAAATTAACAGGCTGACAATTGTCAATTGATGCAACAATTCCTCATCTGGAAAATAAGGATACTCTCTCTTCATGGGTATGTTCTGAAGATTTTTAACACAGAATATTCAATAATATTACTTCAGACAAACAACTTCAGAGGGAAAGTTTCTGAAAGTCCAATTAATACATGACTTAGAAAATGTTAAATTTAAGAAAAACAGATGAGGAAGAGCATGAATATGGTGCATTACATATTAAAATGCAAAAAACGAACAAAAAAAAATCACTACATTAGTTTTTTAGATTAGTTTGAGTTCAAATACCCCAGGAAGATAAAGCTGTGTTGCCAGATTCCGCATAACATCTTCTGTCAGGTCAGAATGTTCCGAATCCCAGACTAAACCAATTGTGACAATCTCGGGACAATTCATGAGAACACGACGGATTTTTATTCGTTGACCACAGTTACTCTGGAAGAAAGAAAAATAAAGGGAAGATACAATATGTCAAAAGCTTCAAGAATGCAAAATTTCTAAAGAAAATGACAAGAGTAAAAAATAAATAACAATTCCTTTCACTGCCCAAATTTAAATTTTGCTATGGTTATTAGGAACAATTCAGAGGGTAAGGGATATATAATCTTAATCTTTACAAGAAGCACCCCAATAGCATTATCTCCAATACCAGTGGAGCTTTCTCTTCATATCCACCACACACCTGTAACTTTTGAGGGAGACTATTTTTGCATGTTTTGAATTTTCCACCTTTTCTATCTCTACAAGAATAGAAAAGCAGACAATCACTGAAAGGTGTTTTTAGGACAACACACACAATGAACCAGACAGAAAACAGTCTGTTCTGTTATAGTCTGTTAAGTTATATCATTATGACCATGTCTAGACTAAAGCAAACTTTGCTCTGCAGATATAATTCCGATTCATGAAATAAAGCCTAGATATGCAATTTGGCAAAGATGAAAGTCTCTCTGAATGGAAGATGAATTTAAGCACATGTGTCTCTGTGTATGTCTGTGTGATAGGATTTATCTATACATGCAACTGACAAAATAGTTTTGTTAAGCTACACATAAATGGAGTTTAGTCTCTAGTCTCTTTAGCTCCAGATCTTACTTTTAATGCATGTTAGTAAGCAGCCAAAATCCCAAGTCTTCCTAATCTCCAACTCACAAGACTGCAGTATTTTTTTTTTCCTACTTACAGGACATTTTCTGAAGTCATCAGTGGTATTTGCTGCCTGTAGCAATTCTGCAAACATTTCTGGCTTAAGGCGTTCATGCCTTTCCATCATTCTATCAACTTCATTGCTGTAAACAAGTAGTAAGAATAAAAGACTTACCACAGATCATCCATTTTAAAAAGTAAAGAAATTTTACCTACGACTAAATTTATAATATGCTGAAAAAGTGGCAATGTATATGTAGGAACATTAATATACGATTACCATTTTTGCTTGCTACATTTGCCGATATCAAATTTTTATATAATTAATCTGCCAGATTAAGAGATCTGAAATAGTGGCAGGACATGGCAGCATAGCTCATCGTTCAGACCTGAGCTACATTAATGCATCTCAGGTAAAAAAAGAGTAGTGAAATTCTTTATATAAAAAAAAAACCCCAAACTTACATGCATGTTCAAAGCTACAGAAAGTTCAACTTGTTTATGGTAAAAAGGCTACTGAATAACAAAATTTGTTTTAGTAACTTAGTTTTAGTAAAATCTGCCATATTTACTCAAATCTAAGATGAGATTATTTTTCCCCATTCAATATTGGAGAGACTATGCAGTGTAGGAGACGAGGGGGAGAAGTGGGGGGAGAGCTGCTGTGATTCCAGCTCTAGTTCCTGCCCTGACCCAAGGCTACTGCCATCACCACTGTCTGTTCAATGCTGGGGCCAAGGCTGAAACTACCACTAATGCCTGGCCTGGGCTGGAGTCACCCTATGCTCTGTGCCCCACACCCTGGGTGAAAGCCAGAGCGGCCACACAGGGTAAACAGCAGTGGGGGAGGAGGGGAGGGGAAGAAGGAGGGGGCAAGTGACAGGTAAGCGGGCAACAAGAGGGGGACAAGGGATCTGGCAGGTAACAGGCAGGGACAGAAAAAGGGGCAAGGGTCAGGCTACATACTCCCTGCTGCTGCTTTTCCTACCACTGTCAATTTAAGACAACCCTCCCTTCTATATATGGAAAATTACAAGTTTGTTATAATTTTTCATGTATAGATTCTAATGAGAGGTGGTTTTAAATTCAAAGTCATCTTGGATTCAGGTAAGTACAGTACTAAGACTGTCAGACTAAAGTTAAATTTAGTAAAAAAAAGGAACCAGTTAAAAGCTCCTTAACACACACAGCAATGGTTTTCTTTCATGAAAGAAGGCAACACCCACTAGTCAGGGTGGTTACTTTTATGCAATGAAGTTCTCAGTACAAGAGATTGCTCAAAAGAGACCTGAAGGAGGCTATCAAAGAAAGAAATATTTATGTTATTATACTGATATATAGCAGAAGTAGCTGGAAAAAGTGTGTAAACAATTACACAGAGGGAGGAGTCAAGAAGGTGCTGTGCTTTCAAGTAATGTGCAAAGAGGCAGTACAAAAAAAGTCACAAAACCAGAGGAAAACAGACTTGCCACTGAAGGTACTCCTAAAAGGTAAGTAAGACTTGAAAAAAGTTTTACACCTCACAAAACAGGAAGGGATTTTTAAAAATTTCTTTGCATGTATCATTTATTTTCAGTATAATCAGAGTTGTTACAGAGAAAAGCAAGAAAAATGCTTGAATTTAAGCTACTGTACAAAATGGAGACCACAGAAATACAAATTTGTTTTAAAAAGTACATCAGCCCCTGTCCCCTGGACTAACAATTGTACCATTTTCAATTCCTCTATCTTCCATACCTCCAACTCTTATTACTTCCCCGCTCACCCCAGACCAAACTCCATTTCTTTTTCAGTACAATACAACTGTAAACCTGGTCTTGAATCATCTTAATTCAACTATTCAAACCTTATTTCTGGCTTCCTCCCTGCCTTTTATAGAACATGCAAAAGGCATCTAAGATGTTGCCAGGAGCAGAAGAGCTTGCTTTGTCAAAGAATTTGAAAGCGATAAAAATAGGAAACTGGAAACTGAGAAAGCAGATTCACAACTAGCCATATTTTAGATTGCATTAGTAGCCATAATTGTAGCTATACCGTCTCAGAAAACTAGTTACAATAGGCGTTTTATACTCCTAAAGCCATACGTGTAGAAGCAAACTAAATCCTGCAGGAGATATTTTTAATTACATCTGAATTTACTGCCCTTTAATTATGCTTTTTGTGTGTTTATTCGCCATGGGCAGAAACTGACAAATCACCCAATGTTACACTGGTGATGCCAAAAACGGTGAGCAAACAGATGACCCTACCCTTTGTGGTGTTACATCAGTGGTTGTGACAAAAGGATAGTGTAATATAATACCACTTTATTGCAGGGAACAGCTATTTGCTTTGTGGCAGTAGAGTCTAGGGCTGCCTCCACTTCCCAAACACCCTGGAAAGGTGCTCCAGGGACTTGAGGGGCCTGATCCTATGCACCCTGGGAACTCTATTGCAGGAACAGGCCCCCATTCAAACCCTGGAAGCACCTGCCCTACTTTCCCCACTTAGAGACATGCCCTAAGGAATATCACAGTACCTCTCTCTATGTGGTTGAAGTCTGGGTTACCCACTTATGGAGACCTGTCTCAGGAACTCCACAGGCACATCCCCATAAGTGGGAAAAGCCTGCATAGACCCAGAGTGGAGACACAGGACCGAGGGAATCCTTGCGCCTCCACACTGGGACCTGTGCTGACCCATGCTTCACCTAAAGGCCTGGGTCAGCACATGGCTTACCATGGAGGTGCAGGTCCCAGGAAGTTCTGGGGGCCCTGCACTTCCTTGCTTGGACCCACACTGACCCAGGCCTCCAGTGAAGCATAGGTCCCAGTGTGGAGGTACAGGGCACTGGAGATTCCTGCGGTCCCACACCACCCTATGTCTCTGAGCCATCCTCTGTACCTCTGAGTAAAGCATGGACCAGTGCAGGATCTAGCATGGGTATGAGCCAAGAAAAACAGGCCAGTGAGGGACATAGGGAAACCCCTGAACAAGGAAAGCATGGTGCTCATCCATCCTATGTTAGGCCTCTGCCCAATACAGAATAATGGATTGTGTGGGTTTTGCCCAATTAAGTTGATCAGCTCTGGCAGGATGTGTCCTACCACAGCTGATCTGCTTCATTTGGCAATGTCTCTTTTTACCCTAACAAGCCAAACGAAAAGGGTACTTCTTCCAATACATGCTTAATTAACTCAACCAAATCCTCCCTAATCTTACTTAAAAAACACAGATCAGCTAGATGTCTTAACTAAAGTAGAATGAATGCAATAGCTAAGTAACACTTACCTGTATGATTTTTGGATTACTGGGGGGGACAAGTGCAGAGAAAAGCAAAAAGAAAAAGTAAGTAAGGTTTCTTACCACAAGGCAGTTGTAGAAATGTAACGCACAAATTCTGTAAAAGGCAAGGGGTCTGAAGATGCCCCACAACTACGGCACACGCACTGGAATAAATGGCATGTTTTAGTTTCCAAAAATTGATGAAATTAGAAATAAGTCACCACCAGATAAATCAAATATCTAACCTGTTCATATAGTGTCATAGCAAACTTCTGATGAGCAATGCAGGATTTAGATGTGCACATATCTGTTTCACTACTTGGAACTATATGGAAATGAATCCTCTCGAGTATATTTTCCTAAATCAAAAAGGACATTGTAAATAGATTATTACCTCCTTGATTCACTTTCTGTGAATATCAGTCCATGTTGCATGCAATTACTCCTCTTGGCTCTGGCAAACTGCCTATTACAGGCAATTTACTTTTAACATTGCCCCTGCTCATGAAGCCCTGTTCATGGCAACATTTTGGAGTACTAAGAAAACATGAAGCACAGGAAGTTAGTGTAGAGCATGAAACAGTTCTGAAGGTCTCAGCTGCCCCCATCATTTCAATGGGTACTAATTCAGATACCAATGATACTTTAAATGTCAACATTACTAAATAGCTGTGCTCAAAAGCAAAGCAAATAAGGAAGTTTCTTAAGATAATTTCTATGACAACTTCTTCCAAATTGAGATAGAAAGTCACGGAAGATTTGTGTGGGCCTTTGTATCAGTTGATGATATTTCCTTTTCTGTGCAATACTGAGAGCAGCAGAGACCTAATTTGCTTAGCTGGCTTCTTGTGATGATGACCTTTCAAACTGGGGAAAATGAGGAGCTATCCATCTAGCTGGACTCTGCAAAGAGGGGAGGGAGGAATCTGGAAGAGGAGAAGAGAACAGAGTGGTTGCATATCCATCTCCCAACCCATTTTTAAAAATTGTTTAGGCACCTGCCTCTGCTCCATTGCCTCTCATACTGAAGAAGCCACCGAACTGGGGGGGGGGGGGGGGG